GCCAAGTTTCTGCACCGTATAGCAGAACTGGCCAAACTATCGCGGCGTACACTCGACCCTTCACAGAAAGCCGAATGTCGCGACGGCGCCACAGATGTCTCAAGTTATCAAATGCCAACCGAGCCTTCTGTATGCCAGCTGACACTTCATCCGTGATGCGTGCAGAAATTGGTTCCTGCCAATTTTGTAAGAACAAGGCGTGGTTTGCATACACAGTTGTTGACCAGTAAGAGCAGCAGTCTTGAATTGATCCCCTCCAGCGGTAACTGATGGCGATGTGGTCGATTTGGGTCCAGTGCAGTGAAGAGGTTGGCAGTTTCCATATAAGTCGATGGCGTTTCTTGTGCGAGAAGTTCGTGTTTGACAGGAACAATCCGTGGTCCGCTCAGAGTTGAAGTAGGCGATCTCCGTTGTCCGTCCGGTTGGCTGGGATTGCATGTGGTTCGCCAAGAAGCCTTTCTGATTCGTCCAGGGATCCCACTTGAGCATTGAAGTCTCCGGCGACTACTACGACGTCCGTTGATCGAGTACTTCGGAATAGTTGAGAAAGATCCTTGTAGAATTTATCCTTGATTTCAGGTGTACTGCAATCGGTCGGTGCATACACCGATTTGAAAGATAAGCATCGACGCTTCATTCTGTAGCTGTTGACTCGAACTGAACCGTTGAAACGTACAGCATACAATCGGCTACTGACTGGAATCCAGTCAAGAAGCGAGCGCTCAGCCTTGGCACTTGATGCGATCCCAACACCAGCAACACCACGAGCTTCGGATGCCGAATCGTCTGACACACGGACGTCGAGGTCGGGTTAGGAGAACGCAGGGAAATGATTGAACTAGGGTCTTGTATGCGTGTTTCGGAAACACAGCATACATCTAAATAGAAGGTTTCGATTGTTCTTGCCAATGCAGCTTGTTGGTCAATCTGATAGAGTGTGCGGACATTGAACGCGGCTAAGTGAAAAGGGGATTTTGGCTTCAAAAATCCTATAGCTTCTGAATCTCTGGCCATGATGGTAAAACGCTGAGTGATATTCGATGGGTAGCGTAAACCGGAGGCGTCTGGGATAAATCGGGGTTGAGGAGAAGTAGTAAGAAGAGAAGGATCGTTTTCGAAATGGGTGCCTGAGAATTTAGGGCACGGCATACTTCGCGGTAGCCCACACCGACGAAGGGGTTTTTCTTTGGGAACATTAACCGGAGCCTTTGAATTAGGAGTCTGACCCACAAGGCAGTGGCGCGCAAATCCAACGCGGGAGCGTGAAAGAAACACCCGTGTGGGAGCTTCTGGAGACCTGTCACGCAAGGCCTTTGAATTTCGGTTGTTTGTTGCTCGCTGGTGCGTTCATTATCGGTCCGATTTTCGGGATCAGCCCTCAACCTCATGCACCCAATGAGACAAGCGGAACGTGGATGGGACAACACCTCATTGGCTGGGGGCTACCCAGCTTGGGTGGGTGGTAGCTGTCCAATGAAGTGCGAAGACTTCTCCCACCGTCGAGAGGAAGCCCCAGGTACCCCGCTTCATGGTCTATCTAGCGGAGAGTTTTCGACCAATGAACTGCCCCTCACCGTGTTCATTTGCTGGAGTGGCCTCTCCAGGGGCGGGTGTGGATAGAAAAGGAAGCCAGGAAGTGCCCAAGTTTCTGGCTTTGTGAGACTGAGCTTTGTCTGGCCTCTACCCGTTGACCTTTCAGGCATGATTGAATCTGCGGCCTTGAGGAGCCATCTTGTATAGCTCGTAGGGTCATGGAGGCACACAAGGCATCAAACCACGCCGAGGTGCAGTCTCATCGTGATGTTTATTTGGATTCAGCTTGAATGTATCGTAGTTTTCTAGCCCCGAGATCGGTACGAAGATCAGCAACGTTAGATTTTGACTGATAAAGGATAAATGGGGCACGTTTTATGTTAGGCGCTGAATCTTTTAGTTAAATTGAATAATCGATTGTTGTTGAAAAGAGTGCTAACGATTATTTGGAAGCAATCCTACCAGTCTGATTCGTGTTATCAGTTGATTGAATTTGATAGTACTTTCGTTTGTTTGAAAGGAAATTCATTCTCTGTTCGGATTCTTCAGGGTAGTATGGATCAATTGTTGGAAGCATGGGAGGAGGAAGATGGCATGACTCCGGATAGCTTTGAACCCCGCTCGTTTTTCCTCATGCATGGTAAGTTTTTCAGATATTTCGAACGTTCTCTCAGGTCCTGTACTATATTGTTATTGTTAGCGGAAGCTGCCGAAGCAAAATGCTTACCATCAAAAACGAGTGATTAGTCAGTGTAAATCGTATATATATATATATATATGCACAATATCTCACAACTTAGTGTACTCCTCCGTTCTCTCTTTAAATATTCAACCTGAGCTGCAGACACTCATTTATGAAACAATCATTCGGATGCAATGCGCTTAACTGTCTGAGAAAGTAGGAAAGCTATTCCGGACGGTATTGTGCTGTATGCGAACAATTGTTCTTCCCCCGTCAACGCCAAGGTAACTACTCATTTCCAAAAAGCACAAAGTATAACCCACCCATCCGATCGAATCATCGCGAACTGATCAACGGTGCCCACCGACGAAAATCCGTATACGACAACCAATGTGAACACTTCAGAAGCGAAGCAAGCAAATTACTGGACACATTGGATGGAACAAATAAAGAACGTTACAGAAGAGACATCAACCGCAAACCGTCTGAAAACCCGAATGAGACCAAACAGAAGGCTTGATAACTTGAGCGTAACACATACAGTATATTCTCATGAAGGGCTGACATTTAGCCACTCCAATGTCAAACAGACCGGTTTAATCGCATCCGCGGTGAGCGGACTAAGAATTGTTCGTTACCTGAATAAAAAAGACAAGAAATTAGGATCAACATATGCCAACACCTCATTCAACCCACATAGTCGCAGTTGAACCCCGATGCCAAAATGAGAACTTTGAAGTCGATTTTAAAGGACTTCAAGAATGTCATTCTTCCGGCAGATAAAGGCAGTGGAATCTCACTGTTGGACAAAACAGAACGATGGTGGTCCGTTGGTAACGTCACCAATTATCACCATGGAGGACGTGGGTTCGAATCTCACCCATCTGCCTGTCTTTCCCTATTATGTGTGTTGTATGGTAACCCTTTAGTTGGCCGCTTCCCAATTCCTGAAAATTGTATCTTTGTATATTCACTAAAAGGAAGGTAAATGAAAATGAAATAGAAGATAAAACAACTTATTGAAGACAATGAGACGGATCGACCAGTCAATGGGTATCTCGTAAACAGCTGAGGAATCAGCTAACCAAATTATTCTCCATTCTCAAGAAAAACAAGAAACTAACAAATGAAGAATATAGACGGGACAAGTTTACAGAAGGTCCGACACCATGGGTTCTATGAACTACCGAAGGTGCACAAACCCCATGTACCATTACGACCCATTGTCGCATCCACAACAGCACCCCAACTACAACCTCTCAAGGTACCTTTTCCAGCTACTAAGCCCATCCCTACCTCCGAACCAAAATGACGCAAAAGGTCCAACAGCATTCCTGAAACGCACCAAAGGACTGACGATCTAACCAGACGAAGTGATGGTCTTCTTCGATGTGACCTCACTGTTTACCAACGTGCTGAAACAAATGTCCATCGGAAGCATTTGTCTCTTCTTGCGAAACGACCAGAATTTTCAATCAAGAACGACGCAATCCGTGGATGACCTAGTAGCATTCTGTATGGAAGCCTACTTCCAATTCGACGAAAAGGTGTACCAGCAGATACAAGGAACTCCTATTGGTTCGTCACTCTCGGGCCTCTTTGCGGATGCGGTTATGAGAAACTTCGAAGCCACAGCTTTTGAAATTCTCCAACCTCGTCTGTGGATACAATATGTGGACGACACTTTCGTCATACTCAGAGCGTCCACGGTAAATCAGTTCCACCAAATCATCAAAGAACAGGTGCTTGGTATCAACTTCACACGAGAGGAAGAGAAAGATGGACAACTCTCTTTCCTCGATATCCTTCTCATGAGACAACCTGACGGAAGATTAGAAGCCACAGTCTACCGCAAACGGATCACGACAGATCTTATCCTCANTTGTGCCACCTGAAAAGTTGTGTGCGAACTCTATTCGTCCGAGCGAACAAACATTACAGCACACCGGAGCTGAGGACAAAAGAAAGAAGTCGACTCTTTCAACTGTTCTTATCTAACTCATATCCCAAAG